GCGCCTCCGCCGCGCAGATGACGCCACCCTGCGGCTAGGACTCTTGCCCCATCGGCCAGCGTTGGGGCAGCCACGCGGCGCCGCAGGAGGGAGTGGAGCAGGCGAGAGCCGCCGAGCAGAAGCAGCGACTCGCGCGGCGCGAGGACGCTCGCCGCCTCGGCCAAGAGCAAGAAGGCCTCGACTTCGGTCTCGACCGTGGAGCTGGCCTCCTCTTCCCCCTCCGACGGGGCACCAGCACCGGCACCGCCACAGCTGCTGCCGCCACCGCCGCCACCGGCACCGCCGCCGCGGAGGGCGGTGCCGCTGCCAGCCCGAGCGACCGCCTGCGTCGCGTCCTCCTCCTCCGACTCTTCCTGCGATACGGCAGTGGCGGCAGTGGCGACGGTGCCAGCGCAGTGTCGATAGCCACGCCAGCTGAAGCCGTCTGCCCGGCGCTCCAGCACAGCGCCGACGCCGACAGCTCCGTCGTCGCTGACGTGGTGTGCAAAGGCGCCAATGACCTCGGCCTGCGCCTCTTCTTCTGCCGCCACGGCATTGCGCTCCTCCGCCGGCGAGCCCGGCGCCGTTGGCGCTCCCTCGGAGGCTTCGGTGGCAGGCGCCGGCCGCCGTGGCGCGAGCTTTGCCCACGCCTCAGCCTCGTCACGCGTCTCAAACCGGACGATAGCAGCACACGGGACCAATCTGACTAGCGCCTCGGCGAGCGTGTCGTGAACGGTGGCGGAAGTGCCAACCTGGACGGCGAAGAAGCCTGCCCCGCACCGGTCGCTCGACATATGAGTAGCCAGGGATGGAAAAAGAATTCCTGTGTAAAGCACGCCCTGCGAGCGGGGCGGGGTGCGTGCTGTGCCTCTGTGTTCGTGCGTCCCATCTTTCGTGCGTCCCATCTTTCCTGGAGATTTGATTTATTTATTACAGGACTTGCACACGCCTTCAGTGCACAGTGCTCAGTGGGCCAGTGGCTACTATACAACAGTTTGGATATTCCTCTTTTTTGGCTAGTCATAGCCCCACACGTCTCCCTCACGTCCCCACGTTTCCTCAGCTCCACAGACAGAGCACAGCCAGTCCACGAACAAACACAAACGAATACGTGCTCCACACACACACACACATGAGGTGCATAATTGCGTGAAGCAGCGCAGCGCCGCGCCCGCCAGGGGCCCGTGCGTCCCTCCTGCGCCTTTTCTGCGCGCCGGACGCGCCACAGCGCCTCGCCGCTCCCATTCAGTCGAGGTCCTCGATGTAGCCGCACGAGGCGGGTGGAGTGGCGGCGGGCGGCGCCTCCTCTAGCGCCTCCTCGACGGCGACGAGTGTATACTCGCACGCCTCTTTGCCGGGCAGGCGCGTGTGCGGGTCGACGTGCAGCTGGATCACGTCGCCGCACCGCACCTCCCGCGCCATCTGAGAGAGGTAGCACTTTGGAGGAGTCAAAGGGGGGCTGGGCGGGAGGTGGGAGGGAATAGGGGGGGAGGGGGGGAGGGGGAGGGGCAGAGAGGGGGGGGGGGGGGCAAAGGGGGGGGGGGGGGGGCCCCCGGCCCCCCCCCGGAAAAAAAACCCCCCCCCCCGGTCGGCCGGGTTCCCCGTCAAAAGGGGGTTGGGGCCCAGCCCCCTGAGAAACCCCCCCCCCGGGTTTTTTTTTGGCCGGAGCTCCACCCGGGCCTTCGTGCCCCAAAGGTTTTTTACGGAGGGGAACTCCGAATTTTGGGCCCCCCCCAAAAAGGTTTCGGGGGGAGGGGCGCCCAACCCGAATGAGGTGCCCCCCCTGGGCCACTCCAGCCCCACCCCGAGGTCCCGCTTTGGGTTGGCCCCCTTCTTCTTGGGAACGGGGCCCTTGGGGGGGGGGCCCCCCCCCCCCATCCCGGGGGTGGAGGGCGGGATTTCATTGGGGGGCCCCG